TGCATCTTCAAAGATGCGGTTTTGGAAACCCGTGGTAGCGGGGAGGACGTTTCTGATAACCACGAAATCGATGAACTCCGTTTGGTAAACGTGCACTTGAACTGCAAGACGGCGAAGAAATGCCTGCATGCTGGTGGGCAGTCCTACAGACGTTTCTGGCATTTGCTAGCGTAATTATTTGCCGAGTTCCGCCCCTCCGTTCTCTGCGGGGATTTCAACATGGCGCTTTTCTTGTTGTGCCGGAGCTGCGGGCGCGCGGCTTCCGAATCAATATGGCAGCGTGGTGTTGCTGGAAGCATGGGCGCGAGAGTTCTGTCCGAGCGGACTCGTGCGGCATCTTCCGCTTAGGGCCGTGCGAAGGGTTCGGCTGTGCCGCGGCATCTATGCGCTCAGGCTCGAAGGCCCCAACCTGCCTGCAAAGTGCCCCATTGCCATGGGGGCCCTGCGCGACCAGGGCGGCAGAGAAACGGGTAAACGCCCCTACCCCATTACGAACATTCTTCTTCTAGGGCAGGGGTTCCCGCTGGGCAGCTACTGTCTGAAAGTGGGCGCGCGTAGGGAACATTGCGCGCGATGGACTTTCATTCCTGTCTTCGATGCGGCCTCGCCCGCGGTGGCGGCGATCTTGGACAGCGCGAGGAATGGCAAGGACATGTTCCCGTGCAGAATGGACTCCTTCACGGGCGTGGACTTGGCCTGCAACCCCGCTTTCGAATCAGAGGCCTGTTTTGTTCGACAAGTTCGACCCCAACCGTCAGTTTTTTTTGTTTTTGTTCAGACGTGGGGCGCACATGCCCTTGATGATTTACGTGGGCAGGCCTGGTGACGTCGGGGTGCATGCGCTGACGGGCGCGGTTGGACCTGGGAAAAGAGGCGGTCCACGATTCCTGGTGGAAAGGGGAAGCAGAAAAGGTGAGGGCGCCCACAGCCGCGGCGGCGGCGAGCCGCCCGGCGATCGCGGCAAAGGTGGAAATTGGGGCGCGCGAGGGGGAGTAAGAGGCGCGGGGGAGAGGTTCGCGTTTCGCGCCTTGCCCGCGGTGGCGGCGAACAGCCTGAATTTCAGACGCCGCGGTCTCATTGCGTTGAGAAAAAATACATAGAGGGTATGGGGCGGCGGGCGGGCCAGAACAACAACGACTGGCAGGGCAGTCGTTGCCACCCAGGAGCGGCCTAGTTTAATTCTACTTCCTTGTTTCATTCAGTTCGCCAAATCAGATTAATTCGAGGAGGGGGCACGGGTTCCACGTGTGTTTTCTCCATGCTCCCCGACGCCCCACGTTTCCCCCCCACTGGGAGTGGAGGGCCACTTGGGGCCTTCGTGTTGGGTTTGGGTGTTGTGGTGGGTGGTGGACAAGCAGGTCACCCAGGTGGACCGTGCCGTGCTCCAGGCCTCCTCGCCTCGGGGCCCGACGCCTTCGGCCCCCCGTCTCTGGCGCCGCCCCGCTCCCGGTCTTTTCCCGCCCGCCTCCCGCCGCGGAGGGCCCGGACCTCCGGCGCCGCCATGGCTTCGTTGGGCGAACGCGCTCCACGATTCGCCAAGGATTTACTCGCGAGTGACCTGTGGATCCACCGCGAATGATTTACGATCAATTCAGTCGAGGCGAGGAGGATGAGGAGGAGGACGAGGAGGAGGAGGAGGAGGCGGAGGAGGAGGAGGAGGAGGAGGAAGAGGAGGAGGAGGAGGAGGAGGAGGAGGAAGAGGAGGAAGAGGGTGAGGAGGAGGAGAGGAGGAAGAGGAGGAGGAAAAGGAGGAAGAGGAGGAGGAAAAGGAGGAAGAGGAGGAGGAGGAGGAGGAAGAGGAGGAGGAGGAGGAAGAAACATAGTCAGAATAAGTACCCATACCGCTATCCTTCGTCCGTTGTCCATTTTTTCGGCCTCCTTGGAGGCCCGAGCCGCCACCGCTGGATTCGCTTCGGAATTCTTGTCAGAATGCAGCCCAGGAGAGTTCTGGGGAATATCGGTATCGGTACCGTTTGGTTTCCCCAGTGCCGCACGTGACAGGGCCGAAGGGGTCGCGATGTCAATCGCTGTGGTTGGGTAGAGTGGTGTTGCACAAACGTGGGCGGCTTCATGTTCTGGTGGAAAGCTGGACCCATAACTCCGCTGTCGTGATGTCGTCACAACGTGGCCCCCAGGAGGTCTGGACCCTGGACCCCATTCCCGGTGCCGGCTTTTCATCCCGAATCCTTTGTTGACGGTCCCTAGGCTTGGCGAGGGCCCCTGGGGGCCGAAGATTGCCAAACACATTCCGTCGCGGCTGCGCTGCAGCACGTGGGTGGCAGGGCCCCTCGCGAGGAGCCGTTTTTGTGTGGGTGGTGCCGGCTTGGCTTCGCCTTGATTTGCGCATGATTTGTTGTTGTTTCTTTTTTTCTTTGCTCGACGATGACCAGCGAGGAGCAGCTTGGATCATTTAGCAGAACGTGCAGGCACGCGCGAAGCCGACAGATGCACCGGGAATGGGCGTCCGAGCGATGGCAAGTCGGGGCTTCTTCCAGAGCGGAGCAGGTGGCCGTCGACCCCGTCGCGGCGAGGCAGGCGGCGCTGTGCCAGAGGCAGCTGGCGCATGACCCCGAGCGCCGGGTGGCCGGGCAGGCCTCTGTGCTGGTCCGCCGGGGCAGCCCACTTCGGGGTGCTGCTGGAGGCTTGGCATCGCTCGCACGTGTGCCTTTTCTCTCGGCGAGGACCATCGAGGAGGATCCTGGATCATCTGGAAAAAAACACGCGCGAGGCCAAACAACGCACGGGGAATGGACGTCCGAGCGATTGCAAGGAGGTGGCCCAGCCCCCACCTCCTCGCGTCGTGAAGAAGGCGCGACGGGCAGGGGAGGAGGAGGAGGAGGAGGAGGAGGAGGAGGAGGAGGAGGAGGAGGAGGAGGAGGAGGAGGAGGAGGAGGAGGAGGAGGAGGATAGGGAGGAGGAGGAGGAGGAGGAGGAGGAGGAGGAGGAGGAGGAGGAGGAGGAGGAGGAGGAGGAGGAGGAGGAGGAGGAGGAGGAGGAGGAGGAGGAGGAGGAGGGAGGAGGAGGAGGAGGAGGAGGAGGAGGAGGAGGAGGAGGAGGAGGAGGAGGAGGAGGAGGAGGGGAGGAGGAGGAGGAGGAGGAGGAGGAGGAGGAGGAGGAGGAGGAGGAGGAGGAGGAGGAGGAGGAGGAGGAGGAGGAGGAGGAGGAAGGAGGAGGAGGAGGAGGAGGAGGAGGAGGAGGAGGAGAGGAGGAGGAGGAGGAGGAGGAGGAGGAGGAGGAGGAGGAGGAGGAGGGGAGGAGGAGGAGGAGGAGGAGGAGGAGGAGGAGGAGCAGTAGGAGGAGGAGAAGGAGGCGGGGGAGGAGGAGGAGGAGGAGGAGGAGGAGGAGGAGGAGGAGGAGGAGGAGGAGGAGGAGGAGGAGATTGTGTTAGACTGTGCTACTTAGGACTCACGCAGATGGAAAACACCACGCCAGACGCCTTCGCCGTGCAAGTCTGAACTTACAAGGGCTTCCCTGTTGACGGATGGCGGCCCTCCCACAAACGCGTCAGTCGACCCTTGGCCGTCCGAGCTCGGGCGGGCTTGCAGCCCTCCTTCACAAGGTTCGTCCACTTACACTGAGCGTAGGAAGCGCATCGCCTGCAGAATACAAAAGTAGGGCGAGCCACAAGGTGGTGTCCCAACCCCTGTGCCTTGAGGATGCGGGCTTCTCGGGCATCGAATTCGACATATTCTGCGCCCGACGGCCCGCTCGGAGTCTGGATCGTGGCCCTGGGAATTCGACGGTCCCTGGGGCCCACAGACGGGGGAGGAGGAGGCATCAGAGGAGGAGCAAGGTTCGACTCGGCGGCCTGGCTCGGGGCAGGTCCACTGATGCTACTCGGTGCGACGTCGGCAATCGTATCGACAACATCGGACGACATTGCGCCCAGCCGGACAGCAAACTCTAGGGCATCAGCTACCATTGTATACTTCTGCTTATAAGCTTGACGCTGCCAGAAACGATGTTCGCACTATTTTGCCCCCTTCTTCGCGCATTCGTCCGCGAAGCGGTTGCCTGTGAACAGTCTCTCGCCAATCTCGCGCCGCTGGGCGCGAGTGGCGTGGGCCTTAAGTTTGATTATCTGGATGGTCCTGGGGCCCAACCCTCCAAGATCGTTGGCCAGAAGCCAAAACTACCGCCAACGATCGCTGTGGGCCCTGGCTGGGGACGAGCACCACGCCTCCCCCCTGGAAGGTCCGTCTACGACAGCCTGGCAATCGCAATCGATTTTGAGGGGTGGCATCGCGCTCTTCAGCACCTGAAGGATGGCGTAGAGCTCAGCTGGGTAAGTCCCTTGCCGATTCTGGGGCAGGGGGAGGGCGCCGAAAGCGGAAAACTCAAGATTTTCCCCTCAGGCATCTAAGGTGGCGTAGCTCCACCCTGCACGCCGAGGGGGTACAAACTCACCGTATAAGAGAGATCCATCCGTGAAGACCTCGCCTGTGATGACTCCTGGATTTTCGCCCTCATGCCGAACCTCGTGCGAGACTGGCAGAACATCCCAGAGTTTTACTTGATCATGCGAGATACCTCGGGCCCAGAGGAATTCACAGCCTGGGAACGGGTTCGTTTTTTTTTTGCTGCACGTGCCTATCCCCAACACGCCTGCGCTGCTCGTCACGCGCGCTGCGTGAGGTGCAAGTCTGTATCTACAGCATTCTTACACGCCTGGCACTGATCGGTAGTCGCTCGACCAGCCTTAAATATTCCCTGTTGGGGCCACGTGCCTCCCGCGAACAAGGTTCGGACACGCGTGCGATGCTCAGCAGTCCACTTTTTTGTCAGGGGTCTGCGAAGCAGCATTCTTACTGGCTCCAGAAAGACCTGCTTAGAGACATTCACCTCGGGGCCCCATCGCGCAGCCCAGCCATTCTGCAGTCCAGAGTGCGCGGCCTGGCGGACGAGGGAGTGGAGGTGGTGCAAGTCTATCTGTGACAAAGCGTGCACCTCGGTCCCGCACGTGATGGTAGCTGGAATCTGGGTGCTCCATCCGGGACGCATTACGGTGGCAATGAACGCGCCTGCTGGCCCTCGCACTCGGCCCCGCGGCCTCGGATGCTCATGGCGTCTCATGACCCACGAGCGCCAGGCCGCCACCAGGAGGTCGCGCGTGGCCACGTCCGTCGCCTCCTGCCACGCACTGGCCCACGCCACGATGGGCCCCGCGTTGGCGAGCACGGCGGGGTCGGCGTCCTCCGCCAGCAGCACCAGCGCGGACGACCTGCCCCTGTTGCAGCGTTGGGAAGGCCGCCGCCACCGGCTGCCTCAGCTTGGCGATCAGCGTGTCAGGGGCGCCTTGGACGCGCGTGCCGTAGAGCTCCGACGGCACGATCCCGAGCTTGACCACCTTATCCGCTGCGCCTCCTGCTGCCTTGACCCGCTGGATTTTCCAGCTCCTGACCTTGGCCTTCATGATCCGCTTGGACTGGGCTCCGACACGGCGCCGCCGCGCAGCTGACTGGGTCACGCCCAAATGCGCGGCCTCTCGCACCACCTGGATGCCCATCTGCTTGCTCTGCCTGCCAAGCTGCCGCTCCACGCTGCCATGGGAGGCCGCGACGACAGTCTTGCCGTCCTTGCCCCTCGAGACCTGCAGCTGAAGCACCTGCTCGAAGACGAAGGCGATCTCGTCGGTCAGCTTGGCGTGGATCGCCGCCACGGCGGCCGCGTCGCCTCGGGTCGACGCCGCAAGGTCGTCGAAGTAGAGGCACATGTCTGCCCTCGGGTTGGCGACGCACAGGTCGCCGATGGCGCCGATGAGAACGAGGGGCAGACACAGCGGGCCGAACATGGATCCTGCCGCGATCCCCCGCGCCCAGAAATCGCCATCGGTCTAACACCCATTCAGCATCACTCTCCGCACCAAAGCAAACACTCGCAAGATGACCCGTAGCAGGGGCTTTGGCAATCCCCAGCGTAGGCCACCACGCCATATCAGATAGTGCAGCACCGTCTCGTAGCACTTCCGCAAGTCGCAGTAGGTGGGGCCAACGACCCTTCGGCTATGAGGCCCTGCATCCAGGCCGTGCGTTCGGCCGACCTGCCGTTCGCGGCCCACTCATAGGCACGTGGATTTTTGTTCTGCCACTTCTGGATCTCGGGGCGCCTGATCTTCCCCCATACTCGCGCGAGCTCGGGGAGGAGCCCCAAGTTTCTCGTGCCGCCCTTGGGCTTGGGCTGCAGCCAGAAGATGACGCACTGCTGTGCGACGGGCCAGTCAGAGCCACGCTCGATGCAGTTCAGGGTGCTGGCCAGGCCCGCTAGGCCCACAGCTGGCCCTTGGGCCCAGAGCCCGGGGTGGACGTTGGACTCGCCCAGGCCCGTCTTGGGGGAGAACGCCCTGCAGGAGTGCAGCGCGCGGTGGCCGAGAATCGGCGGCAGCGCGGGCTCGTTCGCCGCGAGCGGCTCGAACCATGGCGCCGCCCAGTCGACCTTGTGCTGCCATGTGCTCTCCCTCTCCTGCAGCGCTATGTTGGCGGCCGTCTGCGGGCCCATCAGGGCGACGTGCTTGGCCGTCTCGCCCGCGGGGGCCGTCTCTGGAGGCTCGCTCGCCTTCGGTGGTGCCATGGGCTCCCACGGGGCCTTCGGCTCGGTCCACTTATGCAGGGCCCCCGCGGACTTCTCGCTGCGACTCTCAACCCATGCCCGCCAGGACTTGGTGGACTCCTTAATCTCGCACTGCCTCGCCTCGTCTGCCTCGCCAGCCGCGACCTGCTGCCAATGCTGGAGATATTCCAGGTGCTCTGGCAGCTTCCGCGGCTCCATCAGGCAGTCCAGGATGGTCTCGAAGATGTGGGACCACGGGGCCTTCAGCTCCACGGCGCACTGGTGGAGCGGAACGAAGGCCCACTTCTGGATCATCGCATCCTTGATGGACCTGCTCTGGATCACGTCCTGGGCACTTGCCTCGCACGAGTCCCTGCTGACGATGCGGGTCAGGTCCTGCAGGAGACTCGCCGCCGACTCTGTTGCCATAGCTCGCGCCGTCGGGGCTCCCTTGTCCCTGAACGCGGGCGCCAGCTCTCGCATGGTGTAGACAGCCTTCTTGCCATGCCCACGGTGGGCCAGCAGCTCATCGCCGTCAAATCAATGGTATCGGTCCAATGCATCTCGTAGGCGCACATGAGATCGTGCCAGAACGCGTTCAGAGTCTAGTGGTCTACGAACTCCCGACGGAGAGGATGCGGCCACTGAGCTGGAGGTGTAGGGCACCCCGTTGGCACATCCAATGGCCAGGGCACCCTCTGGATGAGTTGGGGTGCCTGTGGCACAGGCGTGCGGCGGCCCATCTGCATCATGACAGGACTGCGGGGCTTGGCCGCAAACGCCGTCATGACAGTAGCTTCGAGGCCGATGAAGTAGTCCTTGACAGAGTTGTTGCCCGCCCTTCCCCCGCACGTGCCTTCACTCTTGTCGTAGACCAGGTGACCCCTTCATCTTGGTGACGATCCCTGTGCCCAGCAGCTCCTGGGGCGACATGTTGCAGTCGCCGCCAAGCGCCCACGGCCGGTCTGACACAGCCATGAACGCCCCGAAGCGGCTGAGGATAGTGAGGTTGCGGTTCGAGGGCCCTTCTGACACCCGCAGGTGCCCGCCGCGATGCCGTGCCGACGGCGCGTCTTGACGTAACCCACGCAGAGTCTCCCTGGCGACTCCTTGGGTGAGGCGTCCCACTGCATCAGCTCGGGCAGGCAGGTAATTCCCATGCGGCTTGGCACCGCGATCATTACACCTGCCATCATGCCTTCCTTGGTGGGTGCGCTGGGCACCACTGCAGCCTTCCAGTCGTATTTGATCAGCCTGGCCGACAGCAGCTACACTTGCTTGGGCGCCAGCTGGAGTTCCTGGCCGAAGACGACTGGTGCCTCGACCTGGCAGCGCAGCTGGTGCATCGCCTTCTCGAACTGGTTGGAGGTGTTCGCGTTGCACGTGATGAACACCTGCTTGCTTGACCTGGTACTTCCACTTGGGTATGGAGTGCTGCTTGGAGCTCGATAGGCTCGACTTCCGCATGGCGAAATTAAGCCCATCAGCCATATCAGCAAGAATGGTATGCAGCATCGGTCCATGCTTCTGGACGTCTGAATCCTTGACGCCTGGCTGCTTGAGGGCTGCTGCAATCTGCCGGGGGTTGGCCTTGGCCTTGAGCTGGAGGATGTCCTCGCCCTGCTCCTCCGGGCCTGCGTCAGCGCGCCGCTTGTGGCGCGGGCCGCCGCCGCTGAGGCCATCCCCGTCGCCCTCCATCGGCGCGGCCGTCTTCTCGGCAGCGTGCGCCTTCTTCTTCGCAGCGAGCGCGAGGGCTGCCCCCAGCAGCTGGGTGACCTCTGCATCGCCTTCCTCGCCGTCTGCCGCCGTGGGCGTCTTGGCGAGCTCCACGTGGGCGCAAACGGATTCCCATCCCTTGGAAGTTGGTGGCCTGGCCAGAGACTTCTCCTTGGCGCGGAGCGACTCGAACGGGTGCCCGCCTGCTCGGCCTTGTTCTCAGCGGTGCGCAGCTGACCCTGGATGTCATCGAGCTGCTGCTTGAGCTTCGCCACGTGGGCGTCTGCCTGTGTCTGTGCTTTTTTCTGCTCCACGGAGACGGCGGCGTACAGCCACTTCCGCGCAACATGCTGGTAGCGTTGCTTCCTTCTGTGCTAACAGCCCGTCGATTTGTTCTTGCAGCTTCGTCGTGGCTTCCGACGCGAACTCCATGCCGGGCTCCTGCGCGAGTTGTTCGAGATCCTTGAGGCGGTCCCTGTAGATCTCCAGCTTCTTCGCGATCCCTGACGTGGCCTCGTTCGAGGCGTCGCCATCGGCGTCCTGATGCACGTCCTTCGACCCGTCGCCCTGCCCGTCCTTCGTGGTCGGGTCTTCCTCCAACAGTCATCAGTGTTGCACGCGGGGCAGGTCCACACATCGCCAGACTTCGGGGGCATCTGGTAGCTCGGGGCGGCGGCGCCACTGCCGAGTTTGCCGCGCCCTGCGGCTCGAGAAATCTCTTGGCACCTGGTGATGCTCGAGTCGGGCAATGGCTTGAGCTAAAGGAAGAGGAGGATGAGGATGAGGATGAGGATGAGGAGGAGGAGGAGGAGGAGGAGGAGGAGGAGGAGGAGGAGGAGGAGGAGGGAGAGAGAGGAGGGGAGGCGGGGGAGGAGGAGGAGGAGGAGGAGAGGAGGAGGAGGAGGAGGCGGGGGGGGAGGAAGAGGAGGAGGAGGAGGAGGAGGAGGAGGAGGAGGAGGAGGAGGCGGAGGAGGAGGAGGAGGAGGAGGAGGGGAAGAGAGAGCGCCCAGTCGAGAGCGCTCCCGGGGCCCCCGGCGTCCGCGTCGTCCCGGACGGGCGTCGGAGGCCCGAGTGTCGGGAGCCGAGGGGCCCTCCTGAAGGACAGGATCTGGCTCCCGGGCGGAATGTGCAGTGCGCCTCCTCGGGCGTGTCCCCCTACAGGGGTACCCTAAAAATACACCCAAAAAGGTCAAACTATATTTAAAAACATATTCCCCAGACTAGTTTTGGACCGTTTTGGGATTATTTTTGGTGTATTTTTTATTTCTCATCGAAAATCCCCCTGTAGGGGGAAACGCCCGAGTTAACCCCACGTTTTCAGGCTATCTCCTCGGGAGTGCCGCGGGCTGTGGGGGGGGGGGGGGGCGGGGCTCGCCGTCGCGAGCGGCCTCATGGGGTCTGGCTCCTCCCCCGTGGCCTCCTCGCGTCGGGGAGGACACGGTACGACGCGGGAGCACGTAGTTTCTGTCTCGCAAGCCGGCAGCCTCGCGGCGCGGAGGCGTGAACACGGGAGGGTTGTTTGGGCAGTTTCGGGGGCCTCCGGGGGCCCTCTCCAGGCGTCGGGCCCGTCGGCGCTCCGGGGGGGCCCGCGTGTTTCCAGCAGGGGATGTCGGAGGAGTTTTGGGAGGCGCGGGACTCGAATCTGTGCGCAGCACCCCGCAGTTGCGGACAGGAGTGGGGGGGCGGGCGCGAGGTGGGTCGCGGGGGGCTCGTGCGAGGACGACAGCAACAGTCATGTTTGCGTTTGTTCGCTCTTATCTGCCCGCGTGCCGTTCAACACTGATATATCCCAAACTCTCGATACCCGCCCTCTTCGTCTTCGGTCGTACCGCCTTGGGAGTACATGTTCCTTCTCTACTACGTGTAGTTGGCGCAGCCAGTAAAACAGGGGAAGAAAGGACTGGAAGGAAGGGGCAAGGGGGAAGGGGAAGGATGGAGCACGAGAGGGGTTAGCAGGAGGGGGGCTAGGAACAGAAAACACGTGTCAGAACCAGACAGGCTGATCGGGCAGGTAGACCCGAACGGGCGGGTCGGGAAGGCGGGCCCAGGCGGCCTGGTCGAGCAGGTGGAATGCTGAAGCGTGAGTATTGCATGAATCGCGAAGAGGTTTCGAGAGATAGTGCGATTCCCAAGTAAATTGCAAGAAAGCCAGGGTGATCGCGCGATTCATGAGCGTCGAGGGCGCGGCGTTTGAATACATTGCGAGGATGTCCCACGCGAGAGCGCGATTTCTAATGATTTCTGCATATATTTTGGGGAAGTCCTGCGCGAAAACGAGATTCCAGGAATACAGTGTGAGGAAGTACCTGGCGGAAGCCGTTGTTGATGTTGTTGTTGTTGTTGTTGTTGTTGTTGTTGTTGTTGTTGTTGTTGTTGTTGTTGTTGTTGTTGTTGTTGAACATTATTTCTTCTTAAGAATAATTATTGTTGGGACCCCTGGTGCGCGCCCCCCCCGCCGCGCCTAGGCCGCAGCCACGTTTTCATCATTTTCGTGAGGAAGTCTCAGGCAAAACGGGTTGGTCCAGATCCGGTTGTTTTGTTGTCCCCCGCTTTCCCTTGCAAAAAATAAGCTAAAGTGGACATTTCTTGTTCTAACATAATCAAACTTCAAGAATCCCTTGCAAAAAATAAGGTAAAGTGGACATTCGCGCGCGCAAGACGAAATCCTTCCAAAACCTTAGTTTTCGTAGCGATTTTAACATAAAAACATCAAAAAAACCAATGGTTTTTCAAAAAAAAAAAATGTCAAAATTTCATCCCGCGCGCTCTTGCGGATTCGTAGGAAACCCAACACTTTTTAAACATTTCTGTCAAACGGGCTTTTGCGAGCAACTTTTTCGAACTTCTGCAACAACGGTTGCGCACCTGCCAGGGCCATCATCCCTGTCAAATAATACCATGCGGGACACATTCGTTTTTTCTTCGCGCGCGCACGCCGTCGTCGTCGGCCGCGGGGCCCTGAATAGTAGCCACGGTCGTCCGCATGCCACGAAGTGAAGTGTCCGAACGTCATAGGGCGGGAAGCTGGGTGTGGGTGGTGGCGAAGAGTCGTTTGGAAATTTGGTAGAGCTTGAACCGGCCCCCCCACAAAGTGGGGGTATTGCCCGCCTCCTATGAAAACCCTGGCACTGGTGAGAACGGAGTGCCCCCACGTGCTAGTAATTGTTGTTGTTGTTGTTGTTGTTGTAACTCGGGGGCCAGGGGGCCGATCTTGTGACCCCAGACTTCCCCCCGGAAAAATGTGCGAGCCCCGGTAAGAGCATTTGTATGGAAAGGTGCAATGGTCATTGGAGCGGAGGGATCAGTATTAGTTCTTACTCCGAAGCGAGAACTCAGCAGCCGCAGCAACAACTATAACAACAATGACAACAACAGCAGCGGCAACAACAATGAAAACACCACCACCAACACCACCACCATTTCCAACACCACCGACAATAACGACAACAACACACAAACAACCGAACAACCACCCAAGCAAACAACAAACCAATCAAACAACTAAGCAAACAAGCAAACATACACCAGACAACAACCACCACTCCTCCAGCACCATAAATTAATACGGCAACACACATGGTTGCTACTACTGCAACTACTACTACCACTGCTACCACCACTACTACTACTACTACTACTACTACTACTGCTGCTACTACTACTACTACTACTACTACGATTACTAATATTACTACTACTATTACTATTACTACGACTATTACTATTACTACTATTACTACTATTTCTACTACTACTACCGCTACTGCTACTACTACTACTACTACCACCACTACCACTACTACTACTACGACTACTACTACTGCTACTACTGCTACTACTACTACTACTACTGCTACTACGATTACTACGACTACTACTGCTGCTACTGCTATCACTAAGACTAGTTCTACTACTACTGCTACGACTACTACTACTACTGCTACTGCTACTATTACTCCTTCTACTCCTCCCTTTTTTACTACTACTAGGATTACTTCGACCACGACTACGACTACGACTACGACTAGTACCACCACCACTACTACTACTACTACTACTACTACTATTTCTGCTGCTGCTGCTACTTCTACGACTACTACTTCTACGACTACTACTGGGATTTTTACTGTTACTACCACCACTACTTCAACAACAACCAGCACAACTACTACGACTCATATTACTCTTACAGAAACAACATCAACAATACCTTCTACGACTACTACCAGCACTACTAC